ACCTTGAAATCATTATACTCCTTTGGAAGGTTCTGCACAGTCCGCCGCATCTTCTTTCCTCTAAAAGTGGCATGCATTCAGAACGAGAAGTACGCTCTCACCTTTCATTGTAGTGGTCGTATATACCTGCGGAGTGCATTGTGGGCGCCATTTCGGCATGTATCAATGGCAAGATCTGAAGAGCACTAGCTACGAAAGGACTGTAAGGTGCTAGCAACTTGATGTCATTTTCGTAGTCAAGGAGGAAACCACGAATTTGGAAGCGCGTTTCATTGGATTCATGGAAGAATAGTTGAGCAGCCTGATGACAGTCAAATTCGAAATCGCGTAAACTTTTGTCGGTTTTCTTAAGAGACCGGATGAATTCATCTGTTCTATAATAGCAAAGCATTGAAACGATAAAATTCATACTTGCCTCTCAGCCAAATCTACATTGTCGACAAGATTTGTAGGAGAAGCCATTTTGAATGCGTACCAACACTAACCGAGACAATGGTAAAATGAATTTAAGTGGCAGTTAATATCATTAAATTCAAGCCTATTCGAGGTCACTGAATGATATCGCAATAAATCGATTAAGGCCATTCTAAGTTAACTGTTTAAAGTATGATTTCGCAACACACAAGGTCAAATGACTGGAAATAGTAACGACGGGCATGGATTTCTGCACCACAGGACAATATATATCGGCCAATCGATAAAATACACTTTGGTATTACTCACAGCGAATTATTTCTTCGATTGAGTTGGATTTAAAGTTCATTGAGTCGAACCTTCCAAATGTAGAGATATATTTTAGGCATTTAGATCCAAATACATACCCTCTGTCCTGACTGCATTCAACAACTATCTCGTGAAATTCAGTCGAATGGAAAAAGTGACATAAAATCCCAGCTATCTGATGGCTTCTATCTCATCGAAAATTTTGCTGTGAAAGAAACGAAAAGTTAGATTGAGTTCATAGGAATTCTCTTACCATCAAACATACGATTTTGTTGACTTAATCCATTCAATCAATGAAGTGAGTGTGAGCGGTAAGGTGAGATGCGTCGGTTATGTTGGCAATGTTCAAGAATTACAGTTGGAGGCAGAAATTAAGCCACTCATCAAAATATCTCTATCTTGCAAATCGTCACCTAATTTGGCGTTAAAAATGTCTTATTGGAAGTTTTGAGGCTTTTACTTTAGTTGATACTAATAATGCTGGCGCATCTTGACTTACCGATTTCGTCTTCGCAATTTCTAGGTGCCAGGTCAAGTGGTCAATTTCTTTCTTTTTTGGTGAGATCAAGGGATTGGATCGACTTGTCTATTTTAGGCAATTCATCGGAGAGTTTGACAAAGCGATTATTAATTGACTTCAATAGCAACCGAGAAGGTACACTTGATATGCTATTTCCAAATAAACTCATTGAGACCTACCATAAAACGCTCCTCATTTGGTCCTGAATAGTCACTAATACTTGGATTAGATATTCCCGAAGCGCTTTCGTTACGACTTGCACTTTTCCTGCGTCTCCTTCGTTTCTTCTTGCTGGAAGTAGTTGGGCTCGAAACTGCCAGCAAACTCTGCATTCTGATTAATTATCAGCGAGTGTGAAGGATAAATTCAAATGAATATTACTAAGGAGGATATCTTTGGTCAGGCTGAAAATTTAATGGTAATAGATAAACCGCATTAACAAATTTGTTCAATAATTGTTTTAATCTGTGGAGTTTAAAATTTTAATTTCACCAATGTAGAGATTAATTAAAAGATGGTCTCACAAAAGATTCAATTGACTTTTGTAGCACTAGAAATGATTCCACGCCGTTTTGTAATGTAAGTATTCATATAGGAAATTGAGTGTAGATCACTTCCAATTCTGCAGAAAAAGAAGATTTACCACCATGAGACAGAATTTTAGCAAGAAATATTTCAATAAACTAAAATGAATTTTCAGACGCTTTAGGTCTACAATAAACCACTATTGAATCGATCGATTTCGACCAACACTCAACTTATCTATTCTTTGCATTACAGTATTAATCCTACTCTCTCCAACTGAAATCGTTTTCTTTTATAAATTACACCATTTAACATCAAAGATGGTATATTTTGCTAAACCTCACATTTTAGGAGTTTGTGTACTAAAATCGATTTTCAATTTACAAGTTACTCGATTCGACAATTACTAATATTCTAAAAGCATATCACATTTAACTATACCCTTTTCAAGCTCCTTAAGGGAGTATTCTGGTCTAGAAAAAATAGTTTGAAATTTTTTCTTGCATATTTTCATTGTATAACTTTTCAAGAATTTTTCTACGAGAGGATTTTCTAAAATTCAAATTAGTTTCGGAGATATAAGTATTTTGCTGAGCAGACATCCAAATCGGTTGAATTGCGACATATCGAGAAGACAAAATGGTTTCTCCGACTACCTGAATCTATATTTCCTAGTAATCCCTTTTATTCCGTTATATCTATCTATCTTTATATATATTTATGTATATATATTTCATGGCAATAGATTTACGGAACAGGAAAGCACCAGTTTTACGAGTGCATCAGCAGCAATATTGAGGTAATCAAATGGTGGAGAAGAAATAATAGATAATGATTACAACAACTGTGTTTTGGAGTTCTTCACAGTCTTTTCAGCTATTTCTTCGTTTTTTTCGTGAACCACATACAACAACGAGATTATATTTTCAAGAACGGCTCAACGCGGACTCGGGTTCAAATTTGTATTACAATGCATTTGCAATAGTCTACGCTACATTCCATCAAGTCCATTCGTTAACAAATCCTTCGACGTTTATTATCAGAAGAGTTATTGATTCGTTGTTTGAATTCAGAAACTCAAAATAATAATGAGTCTGTAAACTCGCTGATATGTACTTTCGCTCCAAAGCATATCCATTCCGGGTTTCAGATCATTGAAATTGCAGTATTTATTGCTGTTTGTATTTATAATGTAGGCTTTATACCGATATTGGAGATGATGACGATTATGGGAGAGAAGATTGGTTTAAAAGCGCATGCACTTGCTATCAGACGAGACAGAGTCCGGATTGACCGCTCCGAGATACGAGCATCCAGAGCATCAAAGGACGCTGGAACTACTCGAATAGAAAACAGAAACGCCGAAGATAGTTTATCAAAGTTGAGCAAGATGCGATGTATGCAGCAGGAATGGCAGATTAAATAAATGTAAGTTAAAATATAATTTTATGACTTCGACTGCAAAAGATTTTACTTGAAACTTTAAGCACATTTTTCTCAAAACCGTGTTTTGAATCTGATACCTACGATTTCTCAGTTTCTGCCAAACCGATTTGCTAAAATTTTAAGAGAGTCTTTTTTTAGGAACTTGGCTATGTCCGGAACTACGGCTATCCCCAAATTTTCATTTTATTATTTTTAAAAAATCGAGGAATGTTTAAAAAAGTGGTACAAAAATGGTTTTTTCCTTTAGAAAACCGCAATTTTGTAAAACAATATATCTAAAACTTATCCGTAGTTCACGACATAGCGGCATTATTGTAGATTGATAATCTGTTTTATTTTTTGATTTCAGATTGCTTGGAGAGTTAAAATTGTGGGTATGGTCATGCGCCATATTTTTGAGACACCCATCTCCATCAGCTGATAATTAACGGAAATTAAAATTTTTCTAAAAATTTTTAATTTTTGTATGCTTATAATATGAATAAATAGTGTATAAAAAATTGATGGTAAAAATATTGTTTGCTTTTTTACAGCACTTTGAAGATGACCTAAAATTCATGTCTCTAGACCAGAATACCCCCTTAAACCATTCATCAAAATATATATATCTTACCAATCTTCACCTAATTTGGCGTTGAAAATGTCTTCTTGGAGGTTTTGAGGCTTGTAGCTTTAGTTGTCAACAGTAAATGCTCATTCGCGATAAAATTTTGATGCAGCCTCCTGTTGTAGAGAAATTTATAACAGATTGTATATATTGATTGCTTATTGGTTGCTCTTTAATTCAGTTAACTTTGAGCCAATGAGTTTCTTAAAGTTCAAGATTTAACCATAAGGCGATTAAATCAGTATTGGAAAATTTATAGTAATTATACGCCTTAAATGCTAAACCCCATATTTACATAAAATTACTTTTATATATATTAACCAAATGGAAAACAAAAAGTATATATTAAATAAATTTTACAAATATGTTTTAACAGAAATGAAAATATTATTTCCCAAAAAGCCCTTATTGTTTACTTATTTTAAAGAATATGTCTTAAAATGTTTTAATCTTCAAACTGGTTGAACTTTCAGGACAAATTGTTACCTTGAAGATTTCGGCGGCACTTTAAGCTCAGGCTTACGATGAAAACAACACGTCCCCAAGGCGAAGGTTCTTTGAAGTCTAAAGGCAGAAGAAGAACTAGTAGGAATAACAATAGGGGGCGCGTTTCTGGTGCTATTTCGCAGCAATCTTGTGTCGTAAGTAATTGTTATTGGTATTATGATTAATCGAATAGATATATTTAGTTTTTTCTTTATTTTAGACACCCTCTGCTATTGGTGTCACTTCAAATGATACTAACGTAAGCTATATAATTCCTATATACGGTCTTGACATTTTATTTCCTTATTACTAAGATTTGATACTTAATATATATTATTTGCATTGTCTTATTATATCTTAGGCCATCGAAAATGCGTTTGAGGAGCTTACTGGAAGAATACCTCGTTTATATACCATTGCCACTACCGTTGATCCAACAAAGAGGGAGAAAGTTTTCGAGTATCAGCAAATTTTAGATAAAGACTTGGAGTCTGTAAATTCTGCTGAAGTAGGTTTACTGCGAGATTGTCTTGGTCTAACGCTCTTTCTTCCTTTAGAACAAATACTTCTTTATTACCTGTTCATTTACTTCTTGGAACCTTTTTCTATTTGAATTACTTAATTGTGTGAAAGAAGAGAAAGATGTAAGTTCAGTTGGCACATTCATAGCCAATAACTTTCCTAAATAGCAGGTGGAGAATATTGAGTTCATCAAGGAAACATATGAACAATTTAAAAGTCTATTGTCAATGCATGTAAGTACTCGAACACGGATTATTAAGGTAAGTTAGCGAAATGAAATGTTATTATGGTAATAGGAATAATTATATCATTCACTTAATTTTGAATTTTTCCCAACAACTAGAATCCTTATCGAAATATGAACTCTGAGAATGTATCTGAATCAAGTAAAAACGATAATGCTAAATCGGACTCGGAAAGTTCAGAAACAGTTGTAGCAGAAGAAAATGATGGCAAAGAATTGGGACTTGAAGAGAATGAGGCATCGGGTGGAGTAGTTGAAGCCCTTGAAAATCTCTCCCTTCAAAAGCAGTCAAGTGCATCGGTTATTGCGTCGATCAACGACCAGTCGGTATCTGCATCTGGTAAATCATCTGAGCTGGGTCAAGACGATGTATCTGAGTTGGATCAGGCTGCCACCAAACGCCGTAAGAGAAATCGCCGCAAAAAGAACAAAAAGACACAACAGTTGGAAGAACCTAATGTCTCGATTGGCATGGAGAATGGAGATCATTCTGAGACCTTACCTGCGCAACCCATGGACGTGAATGCGGAAAATTCTTGCGAACAAATTCCAAACACCTCAGGACACCGTAAAAGGAGAAACCGAAAACGAAGTAAGCATGCCAAACAACAGGACGAAGCAAATGGAGCGATTTCCGCAGGGAACAATGAAGTATCAGATGCACTAACTACGCAACCGTATATATTACCTTGAAGCAGATTGAGGGGGGTTGAGTCACAGCTGACTCAAAGAACCCGCGAAATATTGAAAAAACTGTGTAAAAAGAAGTAGTTTGTGTTTGCTTAAATGTATATGTATGTAAATTATAAAATTGACACTTGTATAGCATTGTCTCTTTTGTAATGGAGGGGGGGGGGGGAAGGGTTGCGTATGACAAAACAGTGAAATTTTTTTGGAAAAAGGAAATTTTAAATGGCGATGCAACCGATTAGAAAACTGAAATTAAAAGAGACAAGTTTGGCCATTAAAACCGTACTCGGCATTTTCAATAATCAAAGTTTCCCAAAAATTACTCAGAGTGACACAGCATGCTCGTTTCCGCCTATAGAGTCTAGGAAGATGCGGTTCTATCGTTGAGAATTAAGGAACCTTCAACGGAGCTTGAAAAAGTAACTCGACCGCATTCCACTAGGCTTCAGGGAGAAGTTAATAGTAGTTTTTAAAAACACGATAAGTAAGTACCTATTTTTTTTTCTTATAAAGCATATTTATGAGATCGGGGGTTCAGTACAAATTCAACAGTCTCATCAGGAAAAAATGAGAAAGTGGTAGATATGGAAGCATTTCAAGAGAAATGCCAATTTCGCTATCTTCCATGCGTTTTGTGCCTATGTAGCAGCTCCAATCCAGTCCAGAAATTGGAACGAGACGATTCTACACTCTTCCCATTCAAAATTTCAGATCAAACACCTTCTTTCCATTATTCCTGCATTTTCAAGTGTTGACGTGAAATTTAATGGTGGAATAGCACAGTCGAACAGAATACCTCGAGGTGAGCTGAAACGAGGGTTGATGAAAGGGTTTAGAAATGTGGCAACACATCATGAATGCTGCTTATTCTAAATTCTGCAAGCATCGATTTCACTACTTTCTCGTAGAGGGTACATGTCATTTCTCGTGATCTCAATCCTGAATTTTTGAGCGTACTTTATGCTCGCGGAATTCAGATCTTGTTGATAGGCGCTGTTAACCAAACACTTCAATTTGGTTCATTTGTGCCATCTTAGGGTCAGGCGTCAACTCATATCACTTTAATGCGTCAATTTAATATTTTCATTAAAAATATCGAATGCTTGACTTCCATAAAATGTTATAAATTTGGTCTTGGTATCCCATATAAGAGTGTGTTAGTGAATATTCGACAAATGGAGAAAAGTAGACAGGCTTCTGTTTGACAACAAAAATGACCTCAAGCGAACACGTGTGCGGTCTCTAAAAGTTGATGATTAGGGCAGTAAGGCCATAAGTTGAATGCAAAATTAGACAAAAAGTTTATATAATTGATTTAATTGGTGCGGAATTCGGGAGATATGTTTGTGGGGCGAGCACAGAGCAGTTAGCAATTTCTAAATAATTTGAATTTAAGTGGACAACTAGTGAGCTTGAAGGTCCAATCATAACCTTTGTGTCAAAATGAGCGTGGCTTCTCTTCCTATATTCTCAATCTAATTTATTGCATTGAGTGTGGTCAATACACTCAAGTTAAGCAGATATTCAAATTTAACTATTGTCCAATTATCATGCAGTTCAAATGTATTTCCATGAGAAGCATTCAGAGAGAAGTCACATCTTTGCCACGTTCCATGTTCAATTAGCGCTAACGAAGTTGAAGTGCTGATAACATCGCTATGGATAAAAGCTTGAGTAGGCAAAAAGTACATCGAATTCAATTTGGCCAAAATATTTAAAGCTACTTGGCAAGGTAAAATGGTCCTTACTAAAATCATTGTTCATTATTTGCTTCAGGTATGCACTAATAATATATATGACATACTATCAGTGCACGGTACATCGGTTTGCTTGATGGTCATGGAAGTTGTCACGGGTTCCATGCACATTGTGAGAAATTTCACGCTTTCCGGCTTCAATTTACTAACAGGTCTTATCTGAGGCTATTGGTCACTCAAGTATGTGTTCAGCAATCACATCTACCACGTCTACCAGATCAAAGGTCACGATTCCAGGACTCAGAGCGCATTATCCGCATTCAATAATGTCCCCGCCCGCCCTCCCTCCCCACTCCCTCCCCTCTTTCGCTCATTTTAAGCGTCTGGCAAAAACACAGTTTTCATTATAATTGATCGATTTGCATAGCACCACTTGAAAAGCTACAAATCCAAGTCATCTAATGTTCTCCAAGATCCCAGTCGGAAATTGTGGAATCGTGGACTTCACGTTGAATTGTAAAATCTTCAATTTCTATGCCACCGAAAGCATAGAATAAGAACGGTATTCGAGTGAGGGGCTTTATGCGACACCCCGTATAAAATACTCACGGAGTATAGTGTTTCACTGGTTTAGTAATTACTGTAACGTATTTAATATGCGTATTTGTGTGAACAAAAATACTTCACCAGTTAGTGGTTATTGTATTTGCTCTTAACACAAGAATAATAGCATACGTTCGGACAAAAAACATAGTTAAAAAGGTTCTTCGAAGTCAGAGAGATGACTTAGAGAACTGGAAGCTTCGTAAGGATCCACCAAGTGCATGTATTCACCAAAAGCTTCCCCATCATAATTTCTTTCTCGGTGACGAGGTATTTTACGGCGAAGATGAAAGAAGACCTTCACTGCATCCTCAACGTCCGAACAATTTTCCTGAACGAATAGAAAGCAATTGGCATAACATTTTTGATACAGATCTAAAATTGCCTCAGGATCGCAAATATTTGGATTATGGAAAAGCGCAGTCGAAAGATTCTCAATCGAAACCTTGAAATCATTATACTCCTTTGGAAGGTTCTGCACAGTCCGCCGCATCTTCTTTCCTCTAAAAGTGGCATGCATTCAGAACGAGAAGTACGCTCTCACCTTTCATTGTAGTGGTCGTATATACCTGCGGAGTGCATTGTGGGCGCCATTTCGGCATGTATCAATGGCAAGATCTGAAGAGCACTAGCTACGAAAGGACTGTAAGGTGCTAGCAACTTGATGTCATTTTCGTAGTCAAGGAGGAAACCACGAATTTGGAAGCGCGTTTCATTGGTTTCATGGAAGAATAGTTGAGCAGCCTGATGACAGTCAAATTCGAAATCGCGTATACTTTGGTTAGTTTCCTTAAGAGAGCAGATGAATTCATCTGCTCTATAATAGGAAAGCATTGAAACGATAAAATTCATACTTGCCTCTCAGCCAAATCTACATTGTCGACAAGATTTGTAGGAGAAGCCATTTTGAATGAGTACCAACACTAACAGAGACAATGGTAAAATGAATTTAAGTGGCAGTTAATATCATTAAATTCAAGCCTATTCGAGGTCACTGAATGATATCGCTATAAATCGATTAAGGCCATTCTAAGTTAACTGTTTAAAGTATGATTTCGCAACACACAAGGTCAAATGACTGGAAATAGTAACGACGGGCATGGATTTCTGCACCACAGGACAATATATATCGGCCAATCGATAAAATACACTTTGGTATTACTCACAGCGAATTATTTCTTTGGTTGAGTTGGATTTAAAGTCCATTGAGTCGAACCTTCCAAATATAGAGATATATTTTAGGCATTTAGATCCAAATACATACCCTCTGTCCTGACTGCATTCAACAACTATCTCGTGAAATTCAGTCGAATGGAAAAAGTGACATAAAATCCCAGCTATCTGATGGCTTCTATCTCATCGAAAATTTTGCTGTGAAAGAAACAAAAAGTTAGATTGAGTTCATAGGAATTCTCTTACCATCAAACATACAATTTTGTTGACTTAATCCATTCAATCAATGAAGTGAGTGTGAGCGGTAAGGTGAGATGCGTCGGTTATGTTGGCAATGTTCGAGAATTACAGTTGGAGGCAGAATTTAAGGGAGTATTCTGGTCTAGAAAAATAATTGCTTCTTGCATATTTTTCATGGTTTAACTATTTAAAAATATGTCCACGAGAGGATTTTCAAAAGTCAAATTATTTTCGGAGATATAAGTATTTTGCTGAGCAGGCATTCGAATCGGTTGGGCTGCGACTAATCGAACAAAAGACATGATGGGTTCTCCGACTACCTGAATCTATATTTCCTAGTAATCCCTTTTATTCCGTTATATCTATCTATTTTTATATATTTATATATATTTATGTAGATATATTTCACGGCAATTGATTTATGGAACAGGAAAACACAAGTTTTACGATTGCATCAGCAGCAAAATTGAGGAATTCAAATGGTGGACAAGTACTTATAGATAATATTTACAGCTACTGTGTTTTGGTGTTCTTCACGGTCTTTTCAGCAATTTCTTCGTTTTTCGTGTGCCACATACAACAACGAGATTATATTTTCAAGAACGGCTCAACGCGGACTCGGGTTCAAATTTGTATTACAATGCATTTGCAATAGTCTACGCTACATTCCATCATGTCCATTCGTTGACAAATCCTTCGACGTTTATTATCAGAAGAGTTATTGATTCGTTGTTTGGATTCAGAAACTCAAAATAATAATGAGTCTGTAAACTCGCTGATATGAACTTTCGCTCCAAAGCATATCCATTCCGGGTCTCAGATCATTGAAATTGCAGTATTTATTGCTGTGTGTATTTTTAATGTAGGCTTTATACCACTATTGGAGATGATGACGATTATGGGAGAGAAAATTGGTCCAGCAGCGCATGCACTTGCTATCAGAGGAGACAGAGTCCGGATTGACCGCTCCGAGATACGAGCATCCAGAGCATCAAAGGACGCTAGAACTACTCGAATAGAAAACAGAAACGCCGAAGATAGTTTATTGAAGTTGAGCAAGATGCGATATATGCAGCAGGAATGGCAGATTAAATAAATGTAAGTTAAAATATAATTTTATGACTTCGACTGCAAAAGATTTTACTTGGAACTTTAAACGCATTTTTCTCAAAACCGTGTTTTGAATCTGATACCTACGATTTCTCAGTTTCTGCCAAACCGATTTGCTAAAATTTTAAGAGAGTCTTTTTTAGGAACTTGGCTATGTCCGGAACTACGGCCATCCCCAAA